TTAGTACAAAAAAAGGAAGGTTTAAAAAAAGACATTCAGAGGAAAAAATCTTATGTCTGTCAAAATCAAATGGGGTCCGAGGGTATGAAAGCACACAATAAGGGAGCAAAAGGCATGATATTGCAACATATTCCAGTTAAGCCACAATACTTTCTCACCACTGAAAGAGTCCAGGGGTTTAGCACAATGTCACATCAAAACTGCTGGTATTCAGCCCTCCAGAGATCATCTGCTTCCTTTCTTAATGGTGGTGTGAACTTTGCTGGATTGACAGCCCCAGGACCTGACCTGTTCAATTTAGCTTCCCAACAGGAACCACACTGTCAGAATGAGCTGCCTCCAGCTCCAAACCCCAGGATCTCTAGGAAAGAACAGTTTTGTGCCCCTGCCCTTGAGGGAGTTCATGAGAGCCTTGCCCAGAATCAATCCTGTGGGGAGCAGGCTGTCTTTGACAGCCTGAGATCATCAGCTCACCTTCCAGCTTTCATTTCCATGAATACTACCTCCTCTGTGAATATAGAAGACTTGATTTTAATTTAATGCAAAACTGTCCATCACATTCCTCTCCTCTTCACTGAAGGTTGGTAGAGGACTACAATCACTGGAGGATTTTGGATGAAAGAGCTCATTTTGGAAGATAGAGGACATTTTCTGCAGTTCAAGTGCAGTTCAAGACCAAGTATCATGGTATTTAACCTAAACACAGAGGTTTTTGCCTGGAAATAGAATCATGGAACAAAATAGGTTGAAAGGGCCCTCCGGAGGTCGTCTAGGCCACTCTGTGCTCCATGTTTGACTTCCAAGTTAGATTAGGTGTTCAGAGACTTGTTTGATGAAGTTATGAACATTTCCAACGATGAGGATTGCACATCCTCTATTTCAGTGTTGCCCCACTCTCAGAGGGAGACTCTTCACTGCTTGTCCATGAAATAGAGCTCGAAACCCCTCCATGGCCCTGGCCTTAGGTCTGTTCATCTAGATAGAACGTCTCTTCCTGATCGTTCTTACAAGTCTTAGTCATTCAGTGGCGCCCCCATAGAGGACATCCTTAGTAATAATAATAGTAATAATAAAATAAATTACCATTAGTAATAATAATATCCTAAAATCCTCAAATATTTTGGGTCTGTTGAGTTGTACAGCTGCACCCTCCACTCAACAGAGGCAGGTTAGGAAAAACAGACAACAGAAATATTAACAATCAGACATTGTTAATAACTTTGCCTGATAGTTCACTTACTTGATATTATCACCTAAATTTCACAAATATTAAGCTCAATTAGTTTTGCTTTCTGGTAAAGAAACACATCAGATCTAAACAAATCAACTATTATTCAAGAAGGCTTTCAGATCTAATCACAACACTTTCATTTTTTTTTTTAACTGCTGTAACAACCTGAGGAAGAAAAGAAATAATCCCTAACCAAATGCAGTTCTAGGCAAGCAGGATGGTACAGGATTTAAGGTTAGAAAAGGTAAAAGGAGGATATGATAATATATCGAATTAGAGTTTTTTTAAGTACCAAAAGAATTGTTTTCCAACTCAAACTTTCCCAAAACAGGAGCCTACGAAGTCTGATGTTGTTGGGTTTTCTGTTGCTGTTTCTTCATCCAGGACCCTCTAACATTTAAACCCTGTGCTATCAATCAGAGCTCCTCACTGATTATAAGATGTATCCTACGACAAGCTAAGCACTCGTCTCGACGACTCCTCACATGCACAGCATCATATCCTCAGGTAACACTGTTTAATTTTAAAATCCATTTCCATCTGCCATGGATACAGGTTCAGATCCCTGCAGTAGTTTCATAAATGAGTTGTCCCATCGATCTCAAGGTCTATATCCCTGCATTTACTGGCATACAACACCGCTCACAGGATTGGGGCAACAGCTGCTTAAACATCTGGTTTGATGCACTGGCCAAGATATCAACACTTCTAAGCAATAGTTTACAGAGGCAACTATCAGGCTGCATGAACTTAATGGGACTTAAGAAAAACTAAAAGGGGGAAAAACCCAGTATGACTCAGGCAAGCCTCTAAAAGGCAATTAAGTAGGGCAAGAAGAAAACAACCCGCCCTTGGCTTAGGAATCACAAAGTGAGCTGTTGGTTTATGCTGTATTTGTTCTCCTGTTCACTGCAGAACAGAGTTAGATTTCTGCATGGCTCATGGTAACATTTTTACATTATACATTATATATTTATAGTCTGTGAGCAAAAATTTAACAAATATGCTCTAATATATTCATAACAAGCTATATCCTCATACAGTGATACAGATACAGTATTTAGCAGATACATGGAAAATGTCAAAACTATGCTGAGGACAACAGAGCTACAGAAAAGAGAGGCAAACCCATCATTACGTAGCAGATTGCATCTACCACCTTTTCATGAATGCATAAGGTACTAGAAATTATGTAGTTCTGGTGGTCATTCTGGAACCAGCAGCAGACAAAGCATCTGCTCTCTCAGTCCCTGTCAGTCCCTGTCAAACTTCTTATATTGACTTTACTTCTACACCCATCTGGAACTGATGGCTCTTCAGGATGCCAAGGGCTGGGCAAATGAGTATTAAATGGGAACCCTGTTTGTGCTTGGCTTTCCAGTCTCTGTTTCCTACTCAGCTGGATCTTTCTTAGTGCCCACTTGTCTCCAAGCAGCATCCAGCTCTTGAAGCCTGCTTTGCTGATGTTATGTTCTGGCGCTCACCCTCATGCATCACCTTGGTTTACTACTCACTAAAAGCTGTCTGTGCTTGCCATAATCCACCAAAAATTTGCAGGGGTGAGAAACACATCCCCTCCCTCCTCCAAAGTCCTCAGCAGAGATCTTGCACATTCCATGTACACAAAACGACATCTTTTCAAGAAGTCCCTTGATTGTAAATTCACTTACTGTTGTTGTAACTGCTGTTGAGATCCGTCTGTGTTGGCTCTAGGCCGTGCTGGATTGACCCTTCAGAGGTGGCCCTTCCTTGACAGTAAATAGAGAAGAAAAGGGAGGGAGGGAAGAGGGGAAGAAAGGAGAGAAAAAGAGATTTTTAGATTACCTCACTGAAGACACCCTCGGGTGCTGTTTTAATGCCATATCATGTAGTAAATCCCTTCATTCCCACCCCAGGCACACTCACTCACATGCACATGCTCCACATGTTCCTCAGCAAAAATCTGAGGGAGGTGGTGGCCTCAAGTCCAGCAAAAGACACTCATATACACTGTCTGAAAAACGCTTTTTTCCACTGCATATGCAGATATGCTTTGTACCAGAATCATTAAAAAGGTGGAGGACACCCAAGTGCAAAGCTGGCTGTGCAGGCACAGACAAGTGTAGGGCTTCAGTGGTATATAAGACCCTTGCAGATCAGGCTGTCAGCATGCCTGGATTAATATTTCAGTTTTTCTGTAAGGACTAAGGTGTATGATAGGACCTGAATGTTAAAGATGAGCAAGTCAGACTTGCTGCCTTATTCATTAACAGGCATAGGATGCAACAGAGAAGGAGTCTGGCAACATTTCTCAATATGAATAACTGTGTTTCCTCAGGAAAGCATATTCCAAATTCTCTTTGGCATTAAGGATATATTTGATTCAGGTCAGTGAAAGCTATGTTGTTGACATGACAAAGAATCATAGAATCGCAGAATGCTTAAGGTTGGAAGGGACTTCTAGGGATCATCTAGTCCAACCCCCTGCACACGCAGGGTCACCTAGAGCATGTGGCACAGGACTGCATCCAAGCGGGCCTCTCCTTAGCAAATTGCACTAATGAATTTGCTAGGCAGGGTATAATCCCTGCCTGCAGAAGATGCAGAGGAGCGTCTTTCACTCCAGACATGCTGCTCTGTGCATGAGATGCCAGAGGTGGATTGGCAGCCTCTCAGGCTGAGAGCACTTGAGCTAACTGTGTTAGTAGTTAGGGTCATGCTCAATATATTTCTGATCATTCTACTGTTTCGGTTTCATTGCCTTCTCATTTGCATGAGATTTGGCCTCTTATGTCTTTGTCCTACCGGCACTACTGATGGAGGACATTCAGGTCTTTACACTGTGATGAAACTGAGGAATCTGAAAGGTTCTTTGGGCTTTTATGGAGAAAAAAAATGTTGCGTGCTGCTACTGAAGATCAAACAGTGAAGTGCCATAGACGCATGGCCATGGAGACAGCAGATTTTCTGTGAGGAGGGAAGGAGCTTGGCCATTCGTCCTTCAGTCCTCAGTCTCTCCATGAATGCTAAGCTAATTAAGCAGTATTTACTGTCTTTTTCTAAATGAAGGATATCATTATTAAACTCTCATTCCTCTTTAAATTATGTTCCTTCCTGACTTATTCTCTCACAATTTGACTGGGCAACATGTATTACTTAATAATGAAGATAGATGATAAAGCAGCATTCACATTAATTAAAAGATATCTTTCAAAGAGAAGATGCAGAATTAATTCTTCACTTGGGAAAGCAATACACCATCTAAAAATGCATATTACACTAATCAAAGAGTAGTTAATGCTAAGTTGTTGCTGACGGATGCTTTTAGCCATTTATGGGAATGTAGAACAAAGCCATTACATTAATTTGTATCTTGTAAACATAGATGATTGATGAGCAAAGTCACATTTAAAGATTTACCTTGCAGCAGAATCATCTCAAGCAGGATATGAGTATTGCTCTAAGCCCTAACAGCATATAAAGTTTTATTTTTTAAGATGCCACTGTGAGCTATTACAACTAAGACTCCAGCCTCTCAGTGGTTTTGCTATGCTTGCTCGTTCCTACTCCTACTTACAACAGCTTTTCATAAAAAGACAACAACAACCAATAACACAACTCCTTTTAGGCTCTTCAGAATTTCTTAAAAGAATCAGCAAAAAAGGTCATGAGGTCTTGTTCCTTTTTCATTTCACATGTAACAGGCGAATGCAAGTTCTCTAAAGAGGCAAGCAAAATAGGTGAGACCTTGGGCTATGACTCAATTGCATTATTTTCTTAAGTATTTTTTAGTCAGTACTATTTTACTTTCCTTGCCAAAGTTGTTTTCTCAGATCATATCTAATAAAAAGGGTAAGTATCATCCCTTCTATCTAGGCTTTCACTGGCTTTCTGTTTGCCAGAGAAGCCACTTCTAAAGTGTTCTTACTGTTTAAAAAGATATTCCCAGAATTTAACTCCCTCTATTCCAAGTCCTTTTGATCTCTAGCCACTATTTGTGATGCTCCTCACTCCTGGTTGCACAATACCTCTTCTTTCTGTAGATGCATTTCTTTTCAGTGCTTCTATATCACAAAAGGATTTCTTTTTTTCATCTTTTGTTTGCCTGTTTTGTCTTTGCCTCCTTACTAATGCATTTTGACTTTCTGATATTTTCCAGTAAACCACTACTGCTTTTGTTTTTATTTCTTGAAATATTTCTTTACATAAACGATGAAGTTTTTCTCTAATGATTTCAAGAACTGCGTTGTTGAGGGAAACACCAAACAGAACCATCCTCAAGTTGTAACTGTCAAAATTAAATATTTCTCAAATGCTGAGTTAATTTCTTTTGCCACTCTAACTGTGAGAGTCCTGAAGGACTACATCAAGGTGTTTGTATGTATAAGGAAATGCCATATCATTTCAGATTTGCTGGAAGATACTTGTTTCTGAATCACCAGTCAATGCTGTAGGTTTGGGGTTGTGGGTTGGTCTTTTTCTCAGGGAGAAGTTCCATCCTCTATGTTCCACTAGCCCTGAATCAATAATGTGCCTTGGAACATTTTTAGGTGCCTACAAAAACACTTTCAATCCAAATTGTGTTTGTTGTTTGCCATTTCTCTCCTTTCTTCTAAACTTGTGTTATCTACTGTTCTCTTCAAAAAGTGAAAATGAGAAAAATAAATGAACTAAAACAATGAAAATTTGTAACAAAGCAGAACTGTAGCCTTCATGGTTGTGCAGGAAAGCCTGAATACTCAATCTCTTCCCATTCAAACCCCAAAATATCAAGGCCCTTAAACTCATAGTTCTTTCTAAGATTTTCATGATTTTTTTATGATTTTCAAAGCAGACTTTAGCTAAGGCTACAAAGCCTCTTATTGATGTCCTCAACAAGTTAATGGAAGAAGAGAGAGAAGATAGACTATATTCAGACAATCCCTTCTCTTGAAGATGTTTAAAACACATCTGACTAAGGTATGGTGTGGAAATATCTGATCTTGTTGGACTTATATTGAGAAGGGGGTTGTTTGCACAAGGGAGTTCCAAAGGTCCCTCCCAGGTCTCACTGCTTTATGATTTGTGAGACAGGAATTTGGTAAGCCTGAATTTCAGTACTTATACTCCTGTACATTTGAGAGAATAATCATTGACACACACATATCTATATGTATATTCAGTTTTCTCTGAAGATCTGCTACAATCCATTTTTGACCCCTAGAAGGTCATAAGGAAAAGGAAAGGGGAGAGGAGGGGAGGAGACAAGAGAGAAGGGGAGGAGAGGAGAGGAGAGGAGAGGAGACGAGAGGAGACGAGAGGAGACGAGAGGAGACGAGAGGAAAAAGAACCCAAACTTCACTTACACCCTAAGGCTAAAAGGTAGAAAATGGCTATTACCTTCCTTCTCTCTCTCTCAAAATCTGTGAGAGGAGAATAAAAACTCAAGTCTGTTTTATTTTGGGTCCCATTTTGTACTGAATGCACTTCAGATATCACTTGCTTCAGACCTGAAAACGAACATTATAAGCCCCAAATTTAGTGCAATGCCTCCTGCAGTGCTGTTTCTGCATCCAGGAGACATTATGGCAAGAACTTCAGCAGCGATGATAGATTGTTTCATTCAGTTCACACTGACTTTGACAATTCAAAACCTATCCTAAATATCCTAAAACTCCATCCTTGTCCAAGGATGGTGGCTTCAAGAAACACAATATATTTGTTTTTTCAAAAAATGGTCACCTATTCCATTCTCTGCCTGGTTTCAAATCAAGTGCAAAGAGAAAAAGGGAAAAAAAAAAGTGCCCACTACAACTCTATCAGAGATAACGAATGTGAACTGTATGGGTAAAATGCAAGATAGAATCATAGAGGAATCAAAAAGAATGAAAACGATGCTCTAGTAGATATGTATTCCAAGAATATAGAGGTCTACAGATATCTTAATTTCAAAAATCTCTTTCTGTATGTAATGTTCTGGGCAAAAATGAAGTAAAAGAGCACCTACTTATAGACTTCTTCTTCTTCTTTTTTTTTTTTTTTTAATAGAAACCTTGCACAGTTCTTGATAAGGATAATTTTGGTTACTAGAAGTTAGTAAATAAATGGACATCCAACACCAGCAAGCTTTCTTAGCTATTTTAGGCAACACATGGGGAATTCAGCACTTCTCCTTCCATCATCCCAAATTTGTGTGGTGGGCAGGAGATTGCACTCCGGAGAATATCCTACTGCAAGCAGTTCCCTCTAGAGCACAAAAAGGGCCCCTACAGGAACTGGATAATTCCTTCTTTAAATTGCTTTTTTTTGTTTTCTCTCTCTTTTTTTTTTCCCCTGTGTATCATATGCAAGTCAGTGGCTAATGAAGGCTGAAATCCTGGGCTTGCTAACGGAGCAATAAACCAGGCTCCAGAGGGAGAAAATGACCCTCAGCATCCAAGACCAGTAACTGGCATCGGGTTTGGTGGAGGGATAGAGGAGCAGGGATGCTCCCAGCACTATGGCTGCACGACCAAGGAGCCACCAGCATTAACTGTTCCAGCTGTGTCCTACCACAGGGCTTGGCCTTGCGACCTCTGCTCTCTTTTTTGACATTGTGGTAAGTAACAGGAATAAGCAATTTCCTAATGCAGGGCACTTTCAATTGTTTGTTTTTCTTGTAATCATGTCTGACATTTCTCTGAAGGGTCATAATATGATCTCAATTAATGAAGAACAGCCCTGATGTTTCAGGAAGACACCATCACTGTCTCAATAAAACCCAAATAAACACTGATTTATCCAATCTCTG